TCTCTCCCACCTCACATATTCAGATAAAATAGATGTAGTGTTACTTCTGTGAATTTGCACAATTGCTGGCACAATGTCATATACCCCAGAGTGTGTATTCTCCAGAACAGTTGTAGATTGGTCTGACTGATAAATATATGTACAGATATCCTAAGTTAAATGTGTACAAAGTGAATCAAGAAGTATAATAAAGGATTAATACATAATAACTAAGTAGGGTTCATGCGAAGAAATTGAAGGATAGTTCAATATCAGGAAATCTATAAATAAAATATGTTGCCTCGAATGGTTGAAGCAGAAAAATTACTTAACAGTGAAGACCCTTTACTGTTAAAAATTCTTTGAAAATTTGGAGCAGAAAAAATATTTATTTGAGATTATTTAACAATAATTTAACTTGAGCTAACCTCTTAGTAAACAATGAAATCGTTAAAACCAGAAATATGAGAAGGATTTTTCTCATTATGAATATACAAGGGTACTTCAAAAAGGTTATGGAAAGATTTGTATTATTTTTAATTCTGTTTTTCCATGAACTTTTAAAAGGACCCTCTTATATTAGTCATTCCTTGGAAAGCATTGTAATAAGCATTATAATAAGATTTTTAATGCACTTATAATCTTGGAAAGAAAATAAAATTATGACTTATAAGTGATATAAATGTCTATTAAGATTCAAGGAGGATCAACTGAAAAATTAATAAGAGAATTTATAAAGTGACTAACTATTAAATTAGTATACAATAACTGGAGGCTGTTTTACATTCTAGTAATATTTGATAGTTTCTATTTGTATTATTAGGTTGGCCTTATCTGAAAGCCATATTACGAAGTACTAGGGGTTCTAGCCAAGAAAGGTTGATTTATAGGTTTTGCTCCTCATTTGGAGTTAAGTGGACCTGTTTGTTCCTTAAAGATTAATTTACCAGTGATCATGATGGGGTACGTTCTTTGCTGGGAGAAGTAAGGTTTTGTGCTAGCGCATGTTTAGTTTAGGCCCCAGCTGCCTGTTTCTGTGGCACATCAGCAGTAGGAGGACTTCAGAGTTTTGATAAACCAAATTGCAACCACACTTGTCCTTTTGGTTTGGCAAAAGCAATCTGCCTCTAGATTCATTTTACGTAAAACCCCAGACTACAATGGAGAGAGGTTGCTACAGTGGTTTTTTTTTTTTATCGAAAGACTCTTGGTTGCTCCGAAATCAAGTAGAGCATCACAGGTGGGGACATAAGAGAATTATAAAGAAGTGTAACAATGCACAGACATACCTACTGATTTTGATCAGGAGACATCACAGACTCAGAGGAGAGAAAATCTGAAATGAAGAGCAACACGACGCACCAGAAAGAGAGCTCAGAGACAGATAGGAGAATTCCTTTTTCGTCTCTAAGTGAAATAAGCCAATCACAAAAGACCAGGTGTTATATGAAAACTTGTATGAAATGTCTAGGATAGGCAAATCTATCAAAGTCAGAAGGTAGATTAGTGGTTGGCTAGGTCTGGGAGAGAAAAGGAGGGTGTTGGTTAGGAGAGAGGTAAAAAGGTACGATGATTGTTTTGAAGAAAGAATGAAAATGTACTGAATTTCAGTATGATGATGGTTGCACAGCTTTGTAAATAAACCATTGAACCTATTTAAACAGGTGAACTTTATGGTCTGTAAATTATTTCTCAGTAAAGCTGTTAAAAATGATTCTGTTATTTATCTGGAAAATTAAAATGATATAATATCCAGGAACATTTTGAAAAATATTAACAAAAGATTTTCATGTTAAAATTCATTAAAGGTGACAATTTTTAAACATAGTTTGCTGAAAATCACAATAATAGGTGGGCATGTAAATCAGTAATACAGAATATGATCTGAACCAGTTTTAAGTGGATTTAATAGAAAAATGAACAATGGACACTAAAAATCAATTCAAAATGACCAAAAATAAATTTTTATTATTCAAAGAAATAAACATTTCAAATTTAACAACTCTAAGCTATATTTTTAGTTTGACTTTTAAAAAAAATTATAGATTCAAATAAAGTTGTGTGAAATAATACAGAGAGATTCTCTGTACCCTGTACCCAGTTTCCCCAGTGGTAATATCTTGAAAAGCTTTAGTAAAATATTACTACCAGGACATTGATATTGATACAGTCAGGACACAGAAAAGTGCCATTGCTACAATGATCCCTCCTGTTGTCTTTTTATAGGCACATCTGCCTTTCTTCCTTTACTCCCTTCCCCAATCCCTTGTTCTTAACCTCTGGCAACCACTAATATGTACTATATTTCTAACATTTCTTATTGTAAGAGTTATATAAATGGAATCATTCATTATGTAATCTGTTGGGATTGGCCTTTTTCTCTATATATAGTTTCTTAGACATTCACTCAAGTTATGAATGCCAGTATTTCATTCCTTTTTATTGCCTTTTGTATTCCATGGTATGCATTTCTCTGTTTAACCATTCACTTCTTGAAGAACATCTAGATTGTTCCCAGTTTTGGGCTATGATGAATAAATCAAATCAAATGGTCAAGACCAAAGTCAGTGTGGTGGGGTGGGGCAGGGAAGAAAGAGTAATGGGCAAATAATGCAGTACTCCATGATTAACGTTTCTATTTGTTATTTGAAAATAACACTGAATTTGTCTTAGTAATTCCACTTCTAGAAAGTTATACTTAAAAATTGAGAAATATAAATAAAATGAATGCTTGAAATTATGGCTGTATTATGCATGGAAACAAAATTCTCTATCTTTCAATAAGAAATGTATTTTATATAGTATATCCATATAGCAAAATACTATACAACTTGAAAAATCATGTCGTCTAAGAATATTTAGGAAAAATATGGAAATACTTATGTGTAATGTCAAGTGAACTGCTGTAACAAACTACCCCCAAAACTGAGGTGCTTTACACATCACATGTTTATTTGTTGTTCACACAGCAGTCTGATGCAAGTTGGAAAGTCTTCCCCCAGCTGCCCTTCAAGCAGTGAATCAGGGGTCAAGCCCTGGCCAGTGTATGGCTGCTCCAGGTGCTCCGTAGCTTCTAGAAGGTGGAGTTGGTCAGAGGATTATAAAGGGTTTATTTAAGGGCCAAGCCTGCAAGTCACTTATATCACTTTTGTTTTTATTCCATTGGCAAAAAAATTAATAATATGGCCCTCTACCTAATTTCAGAAGAGGTTGAGAAATGTAGTCCCCTTGTGTAACCAGAAAGGGGAAACAGTGTGGTGAACACATAGCTTGTATCTACTATAGCAGGACACCAGCCCTGTACACAATACTATCCAATTTGATTATGTATGGGCATACTACATTATCGGCATAGAGCAAGACTGAAAATATATAGACCAAATTAACTGATTCTATTTGGTAGGTGCTGGAATTATATACACATGGCTTCAGTATCTTTTTTTGTCCATTTTCTTAAATCCAATCTTCTAAAAAAATAAATATTATGTTAAGTAATGAATAATGTTTTGAATAATATAAAACTACTTAATCCTATGTATTGTGTAAGAAAGTAACACATTCAACAGAACTTTATGTAACTCTTTAACTCCTATTCTTCCTGCCTAATCCCTGCACGGACAGCCTAGCTCTCTTCAGGAACTCACATTTCCTAGTTCTAAATCCAGTCTTGGGTCTTTCTTACTTATGGGAAAAACATGCTAAGAATGTAGGCAATATGTTTTTGCATTAACAGTTTTAAACTAATCTTATTAACTTAAGTTTTTTTTTAAATCAGTTCCTCACTACAAGAGTTTTCTTTACAGCTCCCTCCATAGCTCTTAAAAACCAATTTCAGAATTCTGGAAACATTTTATTTTTTCCTTAAAGGAGACAAGTAATTCTTTTTTTCTTATGGTAGCATTTAAAAATGAAATTAAATAAAAATATTTTGGCAGGTGACATTCTAGGCAGAGGGAATAGCATGTGTAAAGGCATAAAATTGTGAATATGAGCCATTCATAGCAGTAGTTTTCAATGTGTGGTTCCTGGACCATCAATATTGCCTGGGAACTTGTTAAAAATTCACCTCTTGGGCTTTTATTTAGGATGACCAACCATTGTAGTTTGCCTGGGGCTTTCCTGGTTTAAGCACTGAAAATCCCACTGTCTTGGAAAGCTTTCTGTCCTGGACAGACTGGGAAAATTGGTCACCCTAGGCTGCCTATCCCAGGCCTACTGAATCAGAAACTCTGAGTGTTGGGCCCAGCAGTCTGTGCTTTTATAATCCTTCCTGGTTATTCAGATACTTGCTAAAGTTTGAGAACCACTCACCTAAGGAACTGTGAGGCAGTTGGCATTGCTGAATGATGGGTGTATATAATGAAGGATGGAGCTAAAGAGTAAGCAGAAACCAGGCAATGAAGACCCTTGTGTGCTTTCTTAAAGAGGTTTATCCTAAAGCTGATTAGTATTTTAATTATTTATCTTTATTATTATTAGCATATTCATTATTACAAATGATAATTTTTCTCTATGCCCTTTACTAGACCTATCCCTCCCCAAACCCCTTCTCTCCCTCCTTCCCTCCCATCTCGAGTAACCTTAGGTTTATTCGCTCGTTCTGAAAGTTCAACAAATTGTTGTGGTCTCTCTCTCTCTCTCTCTCTCTCTCTCTCTCTTTCTCTCTAATTTATATTCTTTGGAAGATGTTAGGTCCAGGATTATGAACTCAGTTTATGAAATCAAGAGCAACTGCAGAATCGTTCCATTTTCAATTGTTTAGAAAGTCATACTGTCATAGGTATCACAAAACATGAAGCTTTAAATTAATGCTGTGCTTTTGTTACATGTATAAGAAATATGTTTAAATGTTCCTCACGCTTTACCTCTGTTATATCTTGCTTTATTTGAAGTATTAAAGTTTTAAATTACACAAGGCCTTTTCATATATTTGGAAGTTAGAACCTGTTTCTCAACACTTGTAATAATACCTGGACCATCCATATTCACATCACATTTTTCTTTCTTCAATTTGTGTTTAGGAAATGGCTGGTTTCTTGATGATGTTGTGGTCAGGGATCCCACAACAAACCATGAATATGCCTTCTTTTGTCACAGGTTTGTAGGTGTGCTTTTACATTGAACAAATTAATTTCATATTAGTCAGCTCCAAGTTTATGTATTTGTGAAACTGGATAGATTATTCAATTATTCCTGGTCATTGATGCTTTGTTGGGTAACTTTTGTGAACATTAATCTTAGGGGCTGCTTCTCCTATTGAGAAAAATATCCATTATGTTTATTATCATTCCTGATGATATAAATTTAGTATTTATTGGTAAATTAAGATATGTTTTTAAAACACATGATTTCTCTCTACATGTCAGTAAGGAGAATGAAAGTCTCTGAAAGGAAAACATATTCCCTTTGGATTAGGTCTCAAATCGTGTTCAAAAATAATAAATGTACACAATAAATGTTGCATGTGGCTTTTTATATAACAATGATATTGCTTATCTACTGCCTATAGGCCTTGATTTTTGAGTTTTCTTCATGAAATAGCCAATTGGAGTTTGAACTGTAGTTGGTGGCCAAAGAACAGGATATAATAATTGGTCTGATAGATATAAAATCTATGACTTTGGCAGTTAGCAGGCTAACTGGTTGAGTAACTCACCTGTGGATTAGGGAAAAACATTTCATCTTTACCAGATAGTAGATTGTCTTTTCATCTCTCTTGTACTCTTATAGTCATTTTAGGATTTCCTTTTCCATTCTGTAGTCCTCTGCCTTTATCAACTGTATATATCCATGGCTTTTCTAATTCCTGCTATCCATTATTTCTGACTTAGGTAGTTAATTGACAATCGTTAGTGTAAATCTAAAGCCTAAAAATAATCAATGTACTTTTCTTTCCACAGATGGCTGGATCAAGGGGAAGATGATGGAAAAATTGTCAGAGAATTGTATGCCAGGGCAAACAGTATCTTCTCTGCGAGTGAGTGTCATGAACCCATATTTCTTGAAAAAGTATGTTCTATGATGACTGAAAAAAGCATGACACTGCTGAAATTAATGGTCTCTCCCCCCCCTTTTTTTTCTTCTCAGGGCAGAAGCTAGAACTTAAGAGAAAAGAAACAGTAAGATTTTGCTTTGGGCTTTAAATTATTTGGCAAAAACAATGCTCAAACATCTATTTTATGAATTAAAACAAAGTAGTGTGTAATATTTAGTAAGAGTTGTTTATTAGTAATTTCTTCTCTGTGTGTCTTCTTATAGTGGTGTTTTCGTTTGTTTTGTTTTGTTTTTCTTTGTAGTGGACTTCAGAAAGCTGGAAGTTTATGAAAGGAAACACTCTTCAGTTCTACAACAGGCTGACTGGAGGGTTTGTCCGTCTGCATCCAGATGGCACAGTTGATGCCGTTGGAAAAAAGACAGACAAATATGGTAAAATCTTTACAAAGAGTGTGTGATGCTGGACAGGTCTGGGAGTTGAAGGAAGGCAGATTTCTTGATGCAGTTTTATTTATAGTTTAGCTCCTTTTTCAGATGGCTTTACACTGTTAGGCCATTTAAATAATTCACTATCTGCATTTATACAAATGAATAGATGACAGGCTTTAAGTGTGGGCAGACAATTTCATTATGCAGAACAGTACACTATGAAAAAAATTTATATTTGGTGTTACTTAATTGAGGAATAAAATGTGGGCAATTAACTTCATAAAAAAACAGAAGTTGTAGCTCTTGAATGATATGACCATTTAAGGAATTAAGTCATTTCTACTAAATATCAAGTGCCTATTCTGTTCAGAGGACCATGTTAAATAATATGAGGGCCATAGAAATAACTAAACTGTTATCCTGAGTTCCAGATATTCATAATCTAATGAAGAAAACAAACACATGCCACAATTCTGTTAATGGTTGATTGTAGCTGTGTCATAATAAAGGTACAAAGGAAAAACTAGATTTGATGTTTAATATCATCAGCATGTCATGAAGCCATAACCATAAAGATTAACAAAGAAGGAATAAACTGATAATGGTACATCTTTGAGTGTAAACCCAAACCTCCAACTCTCTGAAATTTGGACCTTCACTATTTAAACAAAATTTGCCTGCTGTATCTATGAATGTAACTTTGTTATGCTTTGTTAGAAACTGTATTGTTCAAATAACCTCTAGGATGTGCTGGAGATACTAACCTATAGCATTTGCTCAAAATGTAACCTCTTCCACCTCATATTAGAAATTCCAGGGAGTAATTCAGTTTTCTCCTCTATGAAAATATGTTGCCATCTCTAAGAATACTTTCTAGTAGCTTCTTGTTACAAAATGAACCTGTTCCCTAGACATTTTTCTTACCTATTGGTTTCCACTTGGGATTACTTCTCCATTTACATTAGTCAAAATGGCCCTTCATGTCCTGTTTCCTAGGTTCCCTTCTGCCAATGTTGAGACCCTTTATCAGTATGGTAGACTGTATTTGCAAATATGGTCATGAAAATATTTCCCATTGTTAAATCAGAAACTGTGAAGGCTCTAAGTTTTACCCTACTTGTGGGAAACATGACACCACTGGGTCAGAGTCTAAGACCATTTATTTCTCACAGTAAATCAGCAGCTGGGGCAGTATCTCACGTGGGTTCCGTGAATGCCAGTCCCGCAGTGTAATAATGCAAGGGCCTGATGGTACCTGCACATGCAGTCGGTGCATTAATGGGAAGACATTCCCAAATAGGAAACTTTGATTTTATATTCTGATATCGGGCTGCCCATCCTTTCTTCTTCCAGAGAATGAAACACACACACACACACACACACACACACAGCGAGAGAGAGAGAGAGAGAGAGAGAGAGGAAGAAAGAGAGATGTCTTTAAGCTTTCCTGTGCAAGAATGTCTGCTTATACAAAATTTTGTAAATGCCATTGCTCAGAGAGACTAGACCATGCAGAAACATGAGAAATCTGGGGAATAGGGAGAGTTGTCTTCTAATATTCATTCCACAGTCTGGTTTATAAAGGGAACTTGCCACCCCCACATCAAAAAGTTCCTGACCCCTTGCGGATCAGCTCTTTCTACTTGTTTTGACTAATAGAATGGAGCAGAAGCATCATTTTAACTTCCAAGATCTGCATCTTCTACATGCACTTCTTGGGTTAATCTTTGGAAACCAGCCCTTTTGCTGTGGGGAAGCCCAGGCAGTTATGGGGAGAGGTCTCAAGAAAGAACTGAGGCTCTGACCATCCCAGCTGTGTTCCCGACCTGCATCCACCACCAGCCACCAGCATGTGAGCCTTCATGTGGACCAAACTAACTGGTAGATGATGAAAATGCAGAAACTTTTTACCTTTCAGTGTTTCTAGCATCTTAATATGCTAGTCCTGTCATATATGAAGAATCTTCAAAAAAATTCATGGAAAGACTTGCACTATTTTGTAGTTGCATATTTCCACAAACTTTTTGAAGTATCCTTACATAAGGTAGAATTAGCCCTAAAAATGGCAAATGCAGGATAGTATGAGTAACTTCCCTTAGCATTAACTGATATATATATATATTTTTTAAAGATGACCGGTAAGGGGATCTCAACCCTTGGCTTGGTGTTGTCAGCACCACGCTCAGCCAGTGAGCAAACCGGCCATCCCTATATAGGATCCGAACCCGTGGCCTTGGTGTTATCAGCACCGCACTCTACCGAGTGAGCCATGGGCCGGCCTGCATTAACTGATATTTTTGCAACAGAAGGTCTTTTATGTGTGGTAGTTACTTGCAGAATTATTTCCTGATGTTATGTACAGTGTCCCATAAATTCACACTCATGAATAAGTTTTCTCTGGCCTAGAAAGTGTTTTTATGAACAATGCTGACCTGTGGACATCTTTTCAGGAAAATGGTTTAAGAAGATGTCTCTGAGATACATTGGCTTACAAATTTTACTCCACCAAGAAATTTTTTAAAAAAATCACCATAAGCCAATCCTTCCATTTAATTATTAAGCTTACTGTGAACTTAGTTATTTCAGTACTTAAAGAGTAAGACTGCTCATTTCTCTGAGCACTACTGAACCATTTCTTGGCAATATTGGACTTAAAAGACACACCCCATGAGAAGTTCTTTGAAATGCCATGGGGAGCTTTATTTTGTGATCATAAACTCTTAGGTACTAAAAAGAATACTGTAACAACATTGACAATGACAGTCACAAGCAAGTCTTCTCCTATAACCAAAGGAAGGACCAGACAACCAAAGCTAGTGTTTTAAACACTGAATTCTTGATGGCTACTTTTATGTCAGAGGCAATTTTACAAACTGAACATCTCCTGAAATTTCAGAAGATTTACTATAATATATAGATTTGTATAGTTTTCTCATTTTACAGCAATAGTCTTTCAAAAGAAAAAATGTATACAATAGATTCAGATAGATTTGATTTATATTCCTTAAAATGATTAGGCATGCATTTTAAATATTTACAATATATCACAAAACTGGAAGTTTCTAATGTGTAATTATCCTTGCCAACTGTATTATTTCTGTATGGATCTGCATAGTTTTACCAGGTTTTGTAGTGGATTTTTATTTTCTATATTTGGAATGTTTATTTGGTACCATGTCAGACTATTATATATGGAAGAGGTGACTTCATTCTCAATGTGGAGGTTTTAAAATATGTCCACAAATTACCTGACACTGCTCTGTTCAAAAGGTGGAACCTAATAACTCTCCCCTTGAGTATGGGCTGGATTTAGTGACTTTCTTCTAACAAATTAAAATATGGTAGAAATGACTGCATGTGATTTTCAAGAATAAGTCATAAAAGGCATTTCAGATTACTCCTGGAGCTTTCTTCGATTACTCACTCTTGGGGGAAGCTAGCTGCCATGTTGTAAGGATGTTCAAGCAGCCCTGTGGAGAGGCTGGCCTCTTGCCAAAAGCCATGGGAATGAATCATCTTGCAACAGGGTCCTCCAGCCTCAGTCTGGGCTTCAGATAGCTACAGCTCCAACCAACAACTTGTTGTTCATACACTGTTCTTTAAGGTAGTGCTTATAGTATTTTCCTACTCTGGGCACTAGGATGGGCTGCATCTTCCCTTCACACTAATTTATGGCCAGGAATGGAAAAGGCAGTATCTCTCTTATTTCTAACTGGAGTCCACATCTACTTTCTTGTGTTGCTGTTTGACTTCTGCATTCTGCAGTGGACAATGGGAAGTTCTGAATATTCAGCGCAATATTTCTGTGGTATTTCTTTTAGCATAAACTTATTTATTTTATTCAAAATATGTTAACATTTACTTGCACATATTTGTGGGGTACAGATGCTGTTTCAGTATATGCATATACTGCACTATGATTCACTTAGAGTAGATAGCATAGTTTTGTACCCATTAGCCCAACATTTTTTCTCCACTTCCACCCATCCCCTAAATCCCCCTGCCTTCAGTAACCGTTATTCTACTCTCTATTTCCGTGAGAACCACTTTTTTTGTTTTTGTTTTTTAGATTCCACATGAGTGAGATCCTGGTATTTCTCTTTCTGTGCCTGACTGACTTCACTTAACATGATGGTCTCCAGTTCCATCTGTGTTGCTGCAAATGATATCATTTTTATTTTACTACTAAGTAGTATTCCGTTGTGTATATATACCATAGTTTTTTAACCTACTGATTCATTGATAGACATTTAGGTTGATTCCATCTCTTGGCAACTCTGAATAGTGCTGCAATGAACATGAAGTGCAGTTGTCTTTTTCATATATAGATTTTCTTTTCCTTTGTGTATATGCCCAGTAGTGGGATAGCTGGGTCATAAGGTAGTTTGAATTTTAGTTCTTTTAGGAAAGTCCATACTGATTTTCACAGTGGCTGTACCAATTTCCATTCCCACAAACAATGTACGGTGGTTTCCTTTTCTCTGAATCCTTGCCATCATTTGTTATTTTTTGTCTTACTGATAATAGAAATTCTAACTGGAGTGAGATGATATCTCATTGTAGTTTTAATTTGTATTTCCCTGATGATTAGTGATGTTGAGCATTTTTTCATCTGCCTGTTGGCCATTTGTATGTCTTCTTTTGAGAAATGTCTGTTCAGGTCCTTTGCCCATTAGTAATTGGGCTATCTGGTTTTTTTGCTGTTTAATTGTTTAAGTTCCCTATATATTCTGGACATTAGCCCCTTATCTGATGTATAGTTTGCAAATGCTTTCTCCCATTCTGTAGGTTGTCTCTTCACTTTGTTGACAGTGTCCCTTGCTGTGCAGAAGCCTTTTAGTCTGATGTAGTCCCATTGTGTATTTTTGCTTTACTTGCCTGTGCCTTTGTAGTCTCACTCAGAAAACGCTGCCCACATCTATTTAGAGTAGCATTTCCCCTTTGTATTCTCTTAGTAGTTGCACAGTTTGTGGTCTTAAATTTAGGTTTTTGATACATTTTGA